AAGAAATATAAGACTTACAGGTTAGTGAAATATGTCATTTCAATTGCATAAATATGAATTAATTAGATTTGTTGGTATTTCATTTCTTAAAATATATTAAGAAATATTTGATAGCAAACTAGCTAAAATAAATTCTTATACTCTATTTATTTATATATTTATTTATTGTCTCAACAGGAATAAAAACGGTTTATCTGTAAACACGGTATCTAACGATTTTGACATCTGTTTTAATTTAATACAGATTATTACAAGTTTAATGTGAGATTATTTTGTTTCTCTTACAAAATCTGTATAAAATGTAACATTTTATTTATTGTTTGAATTTAATATAATCAAGTACAATTAATAGAATCCTAGCAAAGTAGTATTCCATAGTGTCACTATGTATTCAAATTCCTATTTTCCCATCATACGTTTGAGTCCTTAAATATTCCTTCATGTATGACAAGGCAACTCAGACCACAGTGGCAGGCATAAATATATCCATTCTGTGACAGCGATGGGGTAAAACAACAGAGGACAAACACACATACACACAGAAGAGCTCTCTGCTCATCAGACCGCACACACACACACTGACCACCGCACAGCCAGTAGCTCCCTCTGTTGACCACTGCTGAACTGCAGACTGAAGGGCCGTCCCGGCACACAGCTGCCAACCTGCCTTTGTGTCCCCATCAAGACGCAATACAAGAGCACTGCAGCACTCTCATATGACAGGCACAAACACACACACACTTTTCAGTCTACTTTCTCTTGCGAGGGACTTTGAGTTTAGGAATTTGAGGAAGCAGAAGCAGATGTAAGGAAATTATTTGTTTGCTTTTAAGCTTGATAACAGTATATATTTAGGAGTGTATGCAAGTGTACATGTGTGTAAGTTGTCTTTAAGTTGATTTTGCATTTTATATTGTCTAATGCACAAATGCACAATCAGTCAGACAGAATAAATCACAAAAAAAAAAAAATTGTTTTCCCAAACTCATGTATAATATCTTTCATTATATAATTTACATTTATTTATTTATTTATTTACTTACTTATTTATACACACACACACACACACACACACACACATTGTAATATAGTATTAAAAATAATTACCTATTTTAATATGTAAATTAAATATATATGTGTGTGTGTGTGTGTGTATACACACATACACACAGCATTTTTAGTACAACTCTTTAATTATTTTATCCAATTACCTATTAAATTGCTCTATTTTTAAATTATGTTATGAATATAGAAACAACAGCATCACATTTATGCAGCGTTATTGTTTGTAATACGCTTCTCCGCTCAGCCTGAGAGCTTTCACTCTGAGACGCCCCGTGCTGACCCGAGTGGCTACAAATAAGCATTCTGCCTCTTGAATTTATTACAGCCCAATTTTTGACAAGTTGATTTTAAACAACTCCAGCGGCGGTTGCATTGACTGTATGCTCGGCGGCTGGTCGGCTGACATGTGACCTAAGTGAACTTGCCCTCCCCTATTGACTGGCGTGATTGATGCTCCGCCAAGCTAGCCCTGATAATTCTTAGCCACATGTCAACAGCCAGTGACCAAAAGGGTCATCCCTGTCTTTAACATTTCACACACACAAATAAAAAACACGCGCACGCTCTCACGCCCACGTACTCACACACAAACGCTTACAAAAGCCAGAGTCTTTTCAAATCCATTTTGAGACTTTGCATACCCGTCCTTGCTAGCGCCTAATGCGTTTTGTTTTTACATCTCAGAGCTCGTCTTTCAATCTGCCGGCTTGTGAATTGAATGCTCGGCCGTCTCTTGTGGCAGAACGGGATTCGGTTTGAAAGCGAGACGCGGCTCGTTGTAAAACACACACCGTCTGAACAATAGAAGCAGAAGCGCTGTGCTAAAACTGCTAATGAAAAAGATGGGCAGCTATTGACACGTATCGACAGCCGCTGCAATCAGCGCAGACTAGTCGTGCATACTTAAGTTCAAATGTATTCAACGGGGCAGCAGGGATTAAAGGCTGTTAATGACAGCTTGTAGTAGCGAAGCCAGGCTCGATTCTGAATAACTTTGTGCTGCTAAGAGCGCATTGTTGTTATGCTTAAACTTAATGTTGTTAGCATGTTGCTATCGCAGTCAGATTTACTGACTGACAGGAGTTTGGAGTGATGTCTTGGGTCTTTCCAGTCCCACGTGGCAAGTGTTTGGGGGTCACAGCTGCCCATTCAGCACAGATATGGAAATGTGACCTAAAGGGGGGTCTGTCAAAAGCAGGCAGGCCACTGTAATTGAATCAATACATCCGGACACAACACTGCACCCCTGCTGTGAAACCTAAATGAAAAAAAAGCATGTCGGCAGTGGAAAAAAAAAAACGTTGCTAGTTTGAGCTTTCAGGTTTGATTCACTTTAACCGCTTTCTTTAGATGCTTTTCAGGCAAGACCATACATCTTCAGTCATCAGTCTGAAATCAGTCCATCTAACTGATTTCCTCTTCTCAGTGTGCATCTTAGTTCCTCAAGTATGAGTGCTGTCTGTCAGCTCCACGCTCTGCATTTGATCTTCGTGGATCTTAATATGAGGAATGTTTGTTGGTCTCATGGGACCTTAGTGAACACAGGTATCCCTCCTATCTGCATTCAAACATTATGGCGGTTCCCATTCTCCTCATCCTCTTCATTTCCGTTTGTCATATAGTGCAATTTAAACAGTTTCAAATGGCAGTCGGCTGCCTGTTGTTTCCAGGCGGCGCTTTGAAACCACTGCTTTAGTATTTTTTAATCATGTGCCTTGTTTTTTGTGGTGCAAAGATTGCAGAGGCTGTACATTGTTTAAAAGCAGACAGATGAATAAATTAAGCAAATGTAACTTTCCAAGTGTGAGCGTGTGTGTGTGTGTGTGTGTGTGTGTGTGTGTGTGTGTGCGGTCAGAAACAGTAGAGTGTTATTTCAAAACTCCTTTGTTAGACCCAGAGTGTCCTTCAGCAATGGCAACACACTTCCATGTAATAAAAAGAATCTTCTAGCAGTCTTTTACACTTCTCTGGAAACAAAGTTGCATGATTCTGATCGTTCAAACGCATTTGCTTTTCTTTTTTCTGCCCATCTGTTATTCAAAAGGAAAAGCCTGAATTTCACTCAGTCGTTTCTATATATGCCATATCAAGCTTTTTCTTTCTTTGTGCAGTTTAGAAGTAGATCTAATTTCCCCGAAAGATATTAGTTTTCAGTGATGTGTGCATTGCATTGATCTGTGCCTCTTTATTGTTGATGTGCATCTCTCATTCGATATATCTTACTCTACACAACGCACCTGCTGCCTACCTGAGCATTAATAGCTGTTTGTAAAAATTTGTTATTTAAAAAAAAAAAAGATATTTTGTGAAATTTTGAAATAAGTTATTAAAATACGATGACAGTACTGCAATTTTATATAGTCATACTATATTATTAGTAGTATTATTAGTATTATTTATTTATCAATTAAGGTCAGTTTGACCACTTTGTCAATTATTATTATTATTATTATTATCATTATTTGTTCATTAATTAGTTCATTTATTTATATATTTTGGATTTATATATTTTTTTTAGATTTAAGATAAACATCTTCATACACATATAGAGTTTTTTTCGTTTGAAATGTTTTCCTAAATGTGGTTTTAAGTAATGACAAAGACCAAACTAATATATTTTTAATTAATTAATTAATTAATTAATTTAGTAGTAGTAGTAATAGTAGTAGTAGGAGTAGGAGTAGTGCTATTGTCATGTAAAGTAAAAAACAAATGCTATTTAATAAAAGTTTGACTGCTTTGTAATTTTTTAAGGACTGTTGAAAAAAATGGTTATATGACTTCATGTTTATTAACACTATTAAAGCAATTAAGTAAAAATCAATCAAAGAAACCTGGGTTCGTATATGAGATCCAGTGAACAGGTTTAGTTCAGTTTCAGAGACCCAAGACAGGCATTTTAAAGAGACGTCTGCCTCCAAAATCAAAATCCCTGCAAGTTTGGAATATGAAAGACGGTCAGATGCAATTTCTGTGGCGGCGTGGTGGGGCAAGTACAATGGTTTGTAGGCCGGTGCGGCTCCTGAATTTTCTTATCAGTGGGGAATTGCGGTGTGCTGAGATGCCAGCAATATCTTCCCTGCTGCTGCTGGAAATGCAGCGAGCCTGTGACACGCGCGTAAACATACACACGTACTTGCGAATGGCGCGCGCCGGCAGCCTGGATGCCCCGCAAATGTGACTCAATCATTCTAGAACAAAGGGGTGCCTTTGATCTTTCCTCAGCCTTTTCTCGCTGTATCTGTCAGTGATGTGGTCACGGTAGCGTGTGTCCACTCCCTCACTTCCACATTTGCTGTGATGGGCCGCTGTTATGATGTTGCGCTGGATTGCAACGGTTTTGCAGCTCTGTATCGCCACTATTTCCACTCACTTAAAGTGCACGACAACATTCGCAAGCCCGAAAAACTACATTTTTTCATTGCAAAACAAACTGTATTTTTCAATTTGTTTATAACACATATTTTTTTTTAATGTTCCCCGTGCAGGTAGACGAAGGAAACGAATGAGCGTGCAAACAGAGGCGGATGCAAAGCGAACAGCAAGCGGCTTCATTCACAATGTTTTGTATCAACAAAGTGAGCGGTTTTATCTGCACACTTGACAGCGCAAGCCGATAAGCATTGCTGAGGGAGAGACGCGGGCTGCTTCTTTAAACCCTCTCTCACCCCCACTTTCCCTCTCATTACACCACTCCCCCTCCCTCCTTCTCTCCCTCTCTCTCTCTCTCTCTCTCTCTCGCTCGCTCGCTCGCTCTTTGTCTTTCCCCTCCCCTCTCTCCCCGCTCCGTCTCTCTGTGGGCGCAGACACTGCCCTGTCTCACTCCAATTGGCTGGGAAGCCACCAATCTGGCATCCGGGAGGGCCGGGGGGACTGCATATGCAAAGCCCTGCTTCATATTAATGAGCAGCAATCGTGGCTTTAAGTCCTTGATTAGAAGAGTGCAAGAGCTTTTGGTCCCAACTGGCTGTGCCTATAGGCTGTCACCGGGAGAACGGTCCTGTTAATTGCACTGCTCAGTCACGGAAGGGAGAGAGAGGAGGAGGAGGTACAGAGAGAGAGAGGAGCGGAGACAGAGAAGCCAGAGAGAAAGAGAGAGAGAGAGAGAAAACTTTAATTTATAGAAGAGGTTTGCTCAAACGATGATCGCAGAGCGCACATGGATTCGGTAGAACTTTCGCTCCCTGAGTGTTTTTCCCTGCACTCCGAACAACAGTAGGTACATTTTCATTTCTTCTACTTTTACTTGTGTGTCCGGCTAGACTGTTTGTTTTGTCAGTATAGTTCCTGTCCTGGTTTGTTTGTGTGTTTATGTGTGCATGTGGTCACCGTGGTCCTCCTTGTCAAGGTTGTTTTCGCTGTCAGGCAGCGTCTGGAGCCTAGTGTGCGTGCGGACGTACGTTGTGCCGGTAGCTGACGGCTTATCCTCTATTACAGCAATCTGTGTCCGCTTTGACAGGACAGAGTGTTTTGTGTAAATCATTAGGAGTGCGTGGCGGAAAACAACATGAGAGAGAGAGAGAGTGCCGAGGGAGCAGGGGAAGACGAAAGCCATGGGATAGATGGGAGAAAACGGTCTTAGGTGGCTTGAATCGCAGACCGGTCGCACAGCATGTGGCCCGCTAAATGTATTAAAGACGGTGTGCTGGCTCAGAGAGAGAGAGAGAGAGGGAGGGAGGGATTGAGTGCGCGGGGCACGAGCGGACCGTCCAGGAGCCGGCAGAGAGAACAGCTCCTTAGCTTCATATTTATCTCCGTCCCGCTCACTTCTGTCAGCGCAGAGCGAGGAAACATGAATACGCTGATTTAGATGTCAGGTTCTGCACTGGCAGACTTTTATTCTGTTCTAAATACCTGCTATTTTGTTTAGTTGTTTAGTTATAAAATCATGTTAGATAACAGCTAAAAATGAAATATTTTAGGTGAGAAATATAATTAAAATAACATTCATAGTGGTTCTTGAAAAATATATTTTATAAAACAAATTAAAAACAGATTAAGTCATGTCTATTTGTAAAACATTGTGCATTATGTAGTAAGTCTTTGCTTTTTGAATCTGTCAAAATAGTGATGTAGCAGAACAAGTGCACGTACAAGTTTGATTAAAGAAACAACCGAACTATTAACCTCTGCCCTCTGCTGCATATGAATACTGATAAGAAAAACAGGCTGTGAACTGGCAACACCTACAGTACAGAGAAAAGAAAAAAAAAAGACACTGAGAAGGGTCAGAAAGATCACAAACAGGTAACCATCCTGGTCTCCTAAACCTTTAGCCACCGTCCTGCAAAATACAACACACGAGCAGCTCAACTTCAGCCTGAAAGCCATTTATAAACACACCTGAAGAATCCATGCTAACGTAGTTGTGAAAGGGAATTTATTTAGTGATGGAGATTTAAAATATTGTATGCTGATGGAATGACAGCAGTGGCGTGGGTGTGTTGGCACACACCCTGCACAGGATCATTAGATTGACTGGATTATTCAGAGTCATGAAAGGAAATTCGGAGATAAGAGTGTCGGTTCCTCACAGCCTTTTAGCCATTTGGCGCCCGCTCGCTGTTTGATCTTTATTTTAACACAAATTGACTACTGAGATTCTAATTAGTATATTAATGATGGTAATAACAACAAGTGCTGGTTTAGCTATTATCATAATTAGAGACTCTCACCGTCTGCATGTACATTTACATCTGCACGCTCATTTTAATATTTACATTCACAGTTGGAGAGCGTGTTTGTATGTCTTTTTGGATTATTTTAATTATGATGGGAACGTTTATAAATGTTTTTATTATTATTATTAGTATCCTTATCTAGATTTTTGTTATCAAGTTATTTAGGATATCTAAATGTCTATTGTGTGTTTTATAAAAAAATTATTTAAAAGCAGTTTATTTAAAAACAAATAAAAACTGATTTTTAAAATTCATTTAAAATTTGTTTTATACATTATACATATTTATAATTTTTTTAAATGACTTTTTTTTTTTACATATGTGGTGTACAGCTTTGATTGTTCAGCGTGTTTTCAGTTTTGTTTAACGAATGAATGAGGACATTTTAAAATACTTCCATATTTACGTGAAGAAATTCATGCAGCTTCTCAAAAGATTGTCATAAAATTACATGCATGTTTTTCTACTGATTTACATTTTTCCTCAAAACCTTCCGTAAATTTCTAGAATGTATGTGTATAATAAAAAAGAAACTATTTTTAAGCAAAAAGGAGAGGAAGAAAATTACATCAAAGCTTAATGCTGGACATTTTTTAATTTGACCAGAAGCAAGCAGTCAGCTTTTTAAAGGCAATGGAGTGTGAATGTCCACTGGAAGCGCGGGTGTCATGTGTGTAAAATCACTGCTGGACTCTGCAGTGGGCTGAATAGTTCAGCGCAGAATCGTGCAGAAGGTGTCTGAGCCTTCACTCATGCATGTTCAACCTTTTGTCGCTTTTGCGGATGATTTTAAAACTCCCAAACCCCCCTGTGGCCCTTGAAGAAAACTTGATTTTGCGTTTATCTCTACACCCGTTCATACTCCCTTCTCTCTCTCTCTCTCTCTCTTGCGAGAGGCGAATGAAACCCCAGAGGCTGGGATCAGCAGGAATAAAGAGAGATTGTGTAAATTAAATTCCATTTAATCTCCTTATAAAATCATTTACTTAATTCATCTGTCAAATGATGTCAATATGCACAGCGCAGATTTATTTATTCTGCCATGTGTATGTGTGTGTGTGTGTGTGTGTGCGAGGAGGCCTTTGTTGCCGTTCAGTCTTGATTTGGCTCCATCCCATTCCCCTGTGTGAGAGGTGTCGTGGCTCGTCCTGCATGTCTTTCTCTTTCCGTGGCCCCTTGTCGATTACTGTCTGGACACTCTTTGTCTTTACGCTGCCCTGCTTATTGGAGACAGAGCATTGCCACTTCCCCATTATTTGAAGGGGTCTGAGGCATTCCAAGGGTAATTAACTCCAGTTAAAAGAGAGCCCCCTCCCTCCCGGCCCCTCCAGCGGCCTGTCATTCAGGAGAAAAGAGAGGCCGGATGGGGGGCCGTAAGAAAAAAAGGGAAGCTATATTTTTGCTCTTTTGTTAAAAAGTGCAATAAGTGGCCGTCGGATGGACGCACACACTCGTGTGAAACAGTCGCACGCAGGTGCCGCGCACATGAAAACACACAGAGCACACCGTGAGCGTGAGAGCCTGATGATGCAGTTGTCAATTTGTGTGATTTATGCATCAATCCATCAGGATTTTCCGAACGCACTGCGGTTTTAACAGGGCCCACGCCAGCTGAGACTCGCTTGATTGCGTAAAAAAAAAAAAATGACCCACCGGCATTAGCGATTACACCAGAATGTGCTTTATTCTCTGCAATTTTTAGACCTTGGTTTCCCATTTGCTTCTGTCTTTATTTTGCGGATGATTCGTCCTGCTAGAGAGAGGCAGAGCAGGCGCGGGCTGGCTGAGAGCCTGTAGGATACAGTTACAGCAGGTCAATAGGGAGTGTGGTCACTCCAGAAGCAGGAGGGTCCACGAGGGCTAGATAAGGGTGTAAAAATAGTGCTTTTAGCCACTGCGTTTTCCACCGGCTCCCAGCAGACTCACCGTTTGTCTCTCGGCATGCGGATATAGCTTTTCTGAATCTGTTTTCCCTTCCTGTTTAGTTATCTCTCAATAGAAGATGCATTACAAAAAATTTATGTGTCTTTTGTGTGCTGGTTTTGTACTTTAAAAATATATTAATGTAAAATAGTTTTAGAAGTAGATTAGCACTGTGAAGTAAATAATTAGAATATAAGATGAAAATCGGGATGGCATTTTTTTTTTTTTTTTTTTATAAAAGTAACTGGCATTTACATTTGTTTGTGGTTATGTGTGTATACACAGGAACATTTATATATGTGTGAAAGTACAGGATGTTAGAGCTTTAAGGTGGTAAAGTTTCTCCAGTTCTACTGGTGTGAATCCGTACTGATTTTTGAATCTCTTTTAGCTTCATTGGTCTTCAATTAAATTGTGAAATTGTGGTTGTCTCGTAACAGAGAAAGGGAAATGAATCGCCCAGCTGGGTGACGGATGACAGTGAAATATTTCTCTGCGCTTTCTCCTGTCATACATCACGTGTGTGTGTGTGTGTGTGTGATGAGATCAGTATGATGCTTACCATGTAAGGCCCGACTCCTTGCAGTCAGCTGTGGAACGTTTCTGGAGGCTGTTCTGGACTCTTTGAATCGCTGAATTTCTGCACTGTTCGGATACTTGAATCATTTTATATTTCTATTATCTCATGTTTTACATCAAATTAAATTAAGTCAGTCAGAATATTTCAACAAAGTGAGTTATTTCAAAACATTTAGGTGAAAATCTATTTTATTGTTAATGCACTCCGCCGGGTTTGTTTGTAAAACACCTTTGAGCTTCTATAGGGTCGCAAACATATGTATTAATATCTATACGCACACCTTCAGGCCAGTTTTTTCCCTCAAATAAACCAGAATGATGAAATCCTTGGAGAAACGTGCTGCATTTGAAATTCAAATGCCGCTAAATCAAGCCTGTGTATGTCATTTTCTTCAGCACTTTTATGTACATTATCTCGCTGTGCTTGCTTAACATGACTTTTTAAAACCTGTTTAAACGTGTCCCAGTGGAAACGCTTAGGCAAACAGAAGCTATTGTTTCTTTTTCATCTAGAATGCGAAATTTCTTGACTTTTATTTCTGCCCTGCTGTAGATTATCGAAGCGATCCTGATGGGAGGCTTTTGAACAAATCTGCTTATGTGCGGTAATTCTTCCAGACAGGGTACGGATGTACCTGACTGCAGCCTATAGCACTGTTTGAACTTGGGGTTGCATCACATGTATCTGCAGATAGCAAAACAAATTTTTTGGCTTGCTTTGCGGGATGTAAGAGTAGACCTGTGCATGTCTGTGTGATGTGTCAGACGGGTGTATTTGCACTTCATAGCTCCGCTCTCGTCTGCTCCCAGCCCCTGTTGCGCGGGCGAACGGCTGCATTCCCGTAGAGATCCCCGTGCTTCCAGGCTGGAGCGCCCGCACGCGCTCCGTCATATTAAAACTTACAGTCGATCTGCCGCGTGGCCGGCCACGCTGCCTGTGCTGCCCCTGCGTGCGAGGCCTGCGTTTAATTCCACCTGTCCCATTCTTCAGCCTTCAACCCCCAAAGGTTAAATCACGTGCTCGTCAATGTACAATAACAAGAAACCCTGCTGACACGGTTTAAAGCCGCCACCGGTGGTGTCTGTGACATGATAGCACTAACAGTGTGGCTTTTAATAGCTAAAGCTATTATTAAGGAGTTAGATGTAAGTCTATATTTGTGTTTTGTGTTTATAAGCATCTCTGCATGTGTAAATGTTTAAGGCGTGTATGTTTATCGGGTATGTATGTTTTAGCTGGTAGGAGGACTGGGTAATTAGCAGGGTATGAGTAACCAGTCATGTGAGCTGTCAGGAAGGAGTGCGAGAAAGAGAGACAGAGAGATATAGGCATGGCATTTACCGTGCATGGTGCGGCCGTTCCTGCATAAGGAAGAATGGCACCTGTCTAATCAATCAGACCCCCACTATTCACAGATGGAATAGCAACACATGAGTGAGTCGCAGAGCATGGCCGCAACACAGACACACACACACACACTTGGCTTAATTCAGCTCATTGTCCTGCGTGTTAATCCTTGTCCGCATGGATGCAGTACTTAGGCGTTTTGACAGTAGCGTGAAATGGGCTCAGGTAGATCCCTATAGATTCATTCTCTCCTCTAGAAGCGCCTGTTTCTCCCACTGATCTGAAGTGACACTTCATTTTAGCTGTTACTCTTGTTTTCATTGTTTGACCAACCTTTTATTTCTAAAAACCTTTTAGTTCTTATTGTTTTAATAATAATGATAATAATATAAATAATAGTAATAATACATTTAATGAATGAGAATCATGGTTATTATTATTATTATTAGAGTAGTAAAAACTAAAAGGCAATTTTAATATATTAATTAAATTGAATCAAAGTAATTCAGTGTTAGTATAATATTTATCTATTTTCATTGTGGCTTTATGGGGATGATCAGACTTTGTCATTTCGGCACCACCACATGATTTTGTTGATTTTATTTTTTATATTATTATTATTATTGTTTATTTTTATCTTTGTTCTTTCTTTTCTTATAAAATTATATAGGTTTCTTCTCATTTCTTTTATTTTATTTATTTTGTTATTTCATACAATTATGTAGCCCTAAATGGAATAAAGAAGTGAGTAAATGATTAATGTGATGTGCTGTAAAAATTTACAAATTAAAGGAAACATTTTGACTGTGCTCAACAATCCAGCAATCCTGCCCTAATTAATTTCCCTATATTTGCATAAACTATTTTACTGTACATACTCGGGCCACGATTACATTGTTATTTGCATAGCTCTGTCACAAATGCTGTTCTGAAATATCAGCCGTACTTTAGCATTCCAGATGAAATAGATCTTTTGTTTTCTGGAAGTGTTTAGTGAATGACTGAGATAAATGTGTATGTTTGTATATGTCCGTGTGCACGTGCATGTTTTTTATGTGTTGTGTTGTTTACTTTGATTTAAACATTTAAGATGATCTTAAATAAAGAGATTTTATATGCTAGAAATGCATATAAATATGCTTAGAAAATGTATTTACTGCTGTGTTAATGTACTTTTTTACATGCAAACCTTCCTTTCTGATTTCTTTTCAGATGTTTAGTATTGTGCCACTAAAGTCAAAGAGTTTATTGGCTTTTGATGTAATTTTCATCCTCGTTTGCTACTAATGATGCATCCTGTTATATACAGCATGGCCTGTCTACACATCTGACAGGAATGAAACAAAAAAAGAAATATTGCACACTGCTTTAGAAAGCATCCCAGTAGTTAATGACAGATATTTAATGCCGCTAGCATTGGGAGTGCAGTAGTGTGTTTGTGTGTAAAGTCACGTTAAAGAGAGTTGAGAGAAACAGGAGTGTATCAGGACGTGTGGTGTGTGTGATGCTGGAGCTTATCGATTCTGCTGCTCACTCGCCCAGAACTAAAGCCAACACATTACGTGTGTGTGCGTTGCTTTTTTCCACTAAGCTCTGACTGGCTCACCAGCCTCACACACACACGCACAGCACATGCTGTTCTGCCCACTGTTTGTGAGGTAAACACACACTCTGAAGTGTATCACTCCAGAATTAACTCTCAAATTAGCAATGATTGCGACAAAATGATTTGACAATAGCTAATGTTATTCAAACACACTAATGCTCCCTGAATTTTTACATGGATTTCATGTCCTCGAATTTGAGAAATTGATTAGGCCTCAAAATACAAAAAATAGTAAAACTACAATGCAAAGTAAAATTTTGAAACTTTACACTTTAAGCTGAAAGCACAAGATTATTTAGAAACGAAAATTTTTTTTTTAATGGACATTCAGCGAGAAATGCCTAAACTTAATCGCAGACAGATAGAAGAGGCGGATCGACAGAAACGAAAACAAGAGCCTGAGAAAGAGAAAGACGGGAAGACAGATCTTCATGGCTGCGTTCTCTCAGACAGCCGCTGAAGCACAGCATTAGTTGAGTGATTAGTTTCATCAGTCCGAGTGTGGGGACAGTTGGGGGTTGTGCGGCTCTAATGACATTGAACGTGTTTGCTGAGTTGGAACGGAGAAGGAGAATTAGGGGCCTCCTCTGTTAATTAGAGAGTGTGGCAGACTCACACACTCAGCCGCACTGCCTGTGGCTCGTACCACTTCACTTCCTTTGCGCTCCAGTGCTTTACTTTAATCGTACAAAATCCACAGTTTGGAATCTTCAAAAATGAGCATTTCATCTTTGATGGAGAGCTCGTTGTTTAAGCCGAGAACTTTAAGTGTGTGTTAAAGTGTGCAGGTGTTTTTCTTAGGTGCTTTTTGTGGCCTCAATTAATTTCCATAAGTTTGTATAAAGATTTTGCTGTACTAACACACAGCCGAGGGTTATTTACACCCAGTAAGTCTGCAACAGACACTCCTGAATCAGTCTTTTGTTTTCTTCTGAGGTGTCTTTGAATGTTTTCTATGTGATTTTTTTTTTTATGTGATTACCTGCAGCTGAGAGTTTGTTAAAAGCAAGATTTGATTAATAAGGACGTCTATCTTTGTCCTTGAAATGCCCGATGATTAGCAAATAAACTGGCATACGTCAAAACATTCCTTATTCGTTTATATGATCATTTCTCAACCAGTTCTGCCCCCTCTGATTCAGAGGGTCCCATAAAGCCACGGGCTCTCCCGCCCTTATGTGTACAAGGGCCACGGGCGTGCGTTGATCTCCCCGATTCTTTCTTTTATCTGCCGACACCTCAGACTTGTTAAATCTGCGGCCGGTAGAATGATGAGTCTGTGCATTAAAAATGCCAAGGCCGGTTTCAGTTAATGCCTGGCATGAACAAAAGAGTCTGTCTTTACCCTCTTCCGATCCTCAGCGGAGATGCACAGTTACAGCCGATCCATTGAAGAATGCCGGTCAGGAAAGAAGGAATATTTTCTCTCACAGAGTGCCGAGCTGCGTCACTGTCTGTCAGCAGTTAATGGCTCAATGGTTCTTTATCAGAATTCCTCAGTCCATCTCACTGACCCTCGTTTTTATTCCTTTTCTTGCTCTCCCTTTTGTTGTAGAATGAATTTATCAAAGACCCAAGTTAATAGCGAAGATAAGTACGCCAAATGCGGCGCTTGGAGAACACAACAGCAATACGACATCGAGGCCAGTCACATGCGTGATGCACATGCTCTATATAACCAAAGGTAAGGAAAGGACCAAAAATAGTGTAATCAAAAGTCAAAATCAGTTGTGGTGATTATTATTTTATTGTTTGTTTGTATGTTTGTTTGTGTTTTGCCTGCCCAGCTATTATTTATCCATGCTTGCTTCATTCAAGTCAGTGTCTTAGTCTAGTTCATCCAGTGTTTGTGTAGATAGATATGGAAAGTTTATGTTGAGTTTATGGGTATAGGTTAGAGAGGTTGCCTGTTGTCGCCCACTCCAGATGCAGAGGAATGTGTTAAATGCTTCAAGGATTCCGATTAGCATATAAATTTAGATGTATGAAGATCATTGCTCCGATCACGAGTCAGTGAGTTTTATCTAGATTTAGTGGGGGCTGATTTGCGTATAAAATACAGCCAGATGTGACCAGTTAAGAGTCTTCACCAGGCCCTTCTATCTCTCTCTCTTTCTCTCTCAGACCATCTTCTGTAAAATGTCTTTGTTTGACTGTTGTAATTTCAGGTCATTTATGGTTATTACTTTAGAGGTTACGGAAGGGTCAGAGAGAAAAGTGCCTTCACCGCTTTAATTTATTTTCAAATGGTACATTTTATTTTCTTGGACATATTAATTTTCAGTAACATTTGTATTTTTATTTATTTATTTATTTATTTATGTTATTTTGTTTTTTTTTGCAAGAAAATGCCAATATGGAATGTAAGTTAACACTGTAAACAAGTGAATTATTTCTGATGTGTTTAAAGGTACTTCATTAGAAATAGTATGAAAAGCATTGTATAAATGGTTTTATGTTGCTTTGAACACTCAACTTCCTTGTTTTTGGAGTTTAGTTAGATGTGTGTCCTAGGGCAGGATTTTTTGGAGATTTACTCAAACCTTTGAAAAGAAGGTGACTGTGCTTTGATGGGGGCCCTCAAATGAATTACATGGATTAGATTTGGGACAGGTTAGTCTGGGTCAAACCAATTAGCCTCCATTCGCATGCAAGAAGTATTCTCCACTCTAAGCCAATCAGGATCACGTTACTGGTGTAGTCGGAGCTTGTGGCTCTCGATAGACAGGCCCTGCCAGGCAATCCAGTGTCACGCCATGGGCCTGAAACAAAGCATGCTGGGAGCTGGAGGACATGGCTCTCACCCTGAACATCCACATTGGTCGCAGAACAGTTTGAGTTCTTGTGTTTATTCGTTTTGAAGGGCTAGATGTGCATCAGTGGTGTAAATTCAGGGTTGAAGCTAATGCTAATGCTAACAGGCATGTCAAACACATTCACACACACACACCAAACAGAGCAGGATGTTTCACTAGCAGCTGTATCTAAAGATTTGAGGTTAGTCACACATAGATACACACACATGTACGCTTGCGAGCACACAATCTTACGGCGATGGCCGTACATTCATGTGATACACAAACACACACTGTTTACAGTTCAATCAATTAAGATTCACACAGATTTGTGGGAAAAGCATGTATTAATAGACTAGTGCAGGGGATCTTTGGGAACCAGGAGAACTTTGAACGCTCGTGGAAGTCTGCTTGGATAAATAAATCCCTTTACTGAAATAGGCGAACACCCACCTTCAACACTTCCTCGCACACATGCACACACCTTCCTCTGATAAGTCTCATTTCAGAGCGGAGTGAGAGAGACAGAAGCCTGGTCCTGGGGTCAGGGGAAAAACCTCTCCATCTGCTGGTGAGCTGTTGCCTAGATGCAAGCCATTTCCCAGATAAACGGAATTAACTGATTTAGCTCCTCGGCCTCTAGAGGCACTGTTTTATTTATATGATCAAATACTCGTAAAATGATTAATTTGTCAAGGGAGCGGCTTGTTACTGTAAATTTAGCGGGTTGTGTAATAAACTAGATTGCCTTAAACGCAGATGGGAAATGAAGGGCTTTTGGGTGCAGTGCGGTGTGGAGATTGGATTGAATCGCAGGTTTATAACTGGGAGGATTATTAGACTGAGGTGTTTTATATTGTGTTAAAACTTAAAATCTTTCAGGAGTCTCAGGGCCGAATGTGATGGGCTGGGGCTACTTGTTGGAAGTAGATGGATGTTGATTTTATTGAAATTATGTTTTACAAATGGATAAAAGTCATATAAACTGGAAAAAATATATTTTTGTATCTTAAACATCTTTTTTTTATTTCAAGCATTTTTTTTATTTAGATTTTCTAATATGTGACCCTGGACCACAAAACCAGTCAATTTTTTTGAAATTGAGATTTATACACCATCTGAAAGCTGAATAAATAAGCTTTCCATTGATGTATGGTTTGTTAGGATAGGACAATATTTGGTCGAGATACAACTATTTGAAAATCTGGAATCTGAGGGTGCAAAAAAATCTAAATATTGAGAAAATCGCCTTTAAAGTTGTCCAAATGAAGTTCTTAAGACAATGCATATTACTAATCAAAAATTAAGTTTTGATATATTTACAGTAGGAAATTTACAAAATATCTTCATGGAACATTTTTGGCATAAAAGAAAAATCAATAATTTTCACCCATACAATGTATTTTTGGATATTAATACAAATATACCCCTGCAACTTAAGACTGGCTTTCTGGTCCAGGGTCACATTTTTCTTTGAACAAAATAACATTGGGATGCACAAAAATTGCATAATTTTCATTTCAGATTAACTATTTCTTATATATTATTATATATATATATAACAAAATATTCATATCAGTGTTATTATAGTATAATTAAGATACTGTTACAGTTTTAATTATTTTTTATCTTTTTTTTTTCTTTTTAGTTTTAGTTAAAGTTTTAGTAATTTTGATGTGTTTTGACTTTTTTGTTTGTTTTTGTATATACTTCAGTTTTAGTTTTAGTTATTTTAGTGCATAAAATTAAATTAAAATGAGAAATGTTGCTTTGGCAACAAACTAAATAAAAAAAAATATATATATTTTTTTCATTTCAGTTAACATTTTATTTTAACATTTTATTTTATTTCAAGTAAAGATTTTTTTCATGGTTTTAATTTTTGTTTCAGATTTAGTTTTAGTTATTTATAATATTCCTCAGATTCATATTCCTGATTATACATTACATTATTTATGATATTCTTGAATTTTATTTATTTTTTAAAATTTTCATGTTAGCATTACTTAATCTAAATATAATGCATTTATCATTGCTCCTATTATATTTTAAATGTTTATTCATTCATATCTATTAATATATGTGTTAATATATTACATATATTACATATATTTTTATATGTATTATTTTGGGGATTATTATTTATATTATTATATTTTGTGTGTGTGTGTTTATATATAGTCAAATAGTAAATTACTATTGTCTCAGACAACTATAATGAAAGAAACGGCATAGCTGTGGTAGTTCTGTCATTGAAAGTAGAATGATGTTACCGTCTTTGCCATCAAAGCATCAAAGATGCTGAAAAATGATTTGACTATTTGTGCCTCTTCTTTCACCCTAATGAAAGTGTGCCTGCAGACATGGACGGTGTTTCGTTCGGGGTTGGGGACGGGCTCCGTGCAGAGAGAGAGAGAGAGAGAGTGGCAGAACGGGTATTACAGAGGTAAACCCGATTATGGGCGGAATGTGAATTAGATTTTGTAACAGATGGTGGTGTTGAAAATTTAAGATGCTTTGCGGCAGGGGAAGGCAACAGCAGCTCGGCGCGTCTCCATGCGAGGGGGGGTGATAGACAGCTATAACTCAGGACAATCCTGCCTTGACAGCCAATTTCAAGAATCTGATCTGGTTAAAGACATGGCTTTCACCGGTTCACTCACCAAAAAACAACCACCATTTCTCTCTCTCACTCCCTCCCTCTTTTTCCAGCTCTCAGCACCTCTTTTACACGCTTGTCATATTTCCTGGAACAAAATCCTCTTTAACCATCTGTTTAATAGAATGTGTTTTTAATCTCCGTTTTTTAACTCCCTTTATTTTTTATTATATTTACGTGCAATTTCATTTCTTTGAGACTGCAGCTCATCCTCGCTTATCTGCTCTCATGTCCTGTTACTTAATCTAAATATAATGCATTTATCATTGCTCCTATTATATTTTAAATGTTTATTCATTCATATCTATTAATATATGTGTTAATATATTACATATATTACATATATTTTTATATGTATTATTTTGGGGATTATTATTTATATTATTATATTTTGTGTGTGTGTGTTTATATATAGTCAAATAGTAAATTACTATTGTCTCAGACAACTATAATGAAAGAAACGGCATAGCTGTGGTAGTTCTGTCATTGAAAGTAGAATGATGTTACCGTCTTTGCCATCAAAGCATCAAAGATGCTGAAAAATGATTTGACTATTTGTGCCTCTTCTTTCACCCTAATGAAAGTGTGCCTGCAGACATGGACGGTGTTTCGTTCGGGGTTGGGGACGGGCTCCGTGCAGAGAGAGAGAGAGAGAGAGTGGCAGAACGGGTATTACAGAGGTAAACCCGATTATGGGCGGAATGTGAATTAGATTTTGTAACAGATGGTGGTGTTGAAAATTTAAGATGCTTTGCGGCAGGGGAAGGCAACAGCAGCTCGGCGCGTCTCCATGCGAGGGGGGGTGATAGACAGCTATAACTCAGGACAATCCTGCCTTGACAGCCAATTTCAAGAATCTGATCTGGTTAAAGACATGGCTTTCACCGGTTCACTCACCAAAAAACAACCACCATTTCTCTCTCTCCCTCCCTCCCTCTTTTTCCAGCTCTCAGCACCTCTTTTACACGCTTGTCATATTTCCTGGAACAAAATCCTCTTTAACCATCTGTTTAATAGAATGTGTTTTTAATCTCCGTTTTTTAACTCCCTTTATTTTTTATTATATTTACGTGCAATTTCATTTCTTTGAGACTGCAGCTCATCCTCGCTTATCTGCTCTCATGTCCTGTTCGGGTTGAATAGATGGGTGCCGCGCTCCAACAGCGGTAAAGCAGTGATTTTAGGCATATTGCTTATTGAAAAATGCCAAAGCTTATTTGCTCTGCCCTG